ATTTTTTGCAGAATCAGTTTTTTCATCTATAAAATGAGAATGATAAAACTTGCTCAACCCAATGGGTATCAAAAGAGATAACATATTGTTAACACACTTGGAAAATTATAAGATACACACATGTGAAGTATTTTTAGCCAAATATATATATTAGGTTGTTTTCTTGAACACTTATTAACTGACAGAGGAAAATTAAATTATTTTGGAAGCTACCTTTATCCTTTAAAACCATTTCCATGAAAAATACACAAATACTGTCCAATTAGGTATAATGTGTAGGTCACGATGACATTGCATCTGAAGGATACTTTTCATAACTTCTTCTTAGGTTTTGAGAAACATTTGAAGAGATAATACCTGCAAAGCAGTTGGAACATTTCCTGGCACATGGCAAAGGCTTTATACATGTGAGCTACATATGAGGGATCTTCAAAAAGTTCATGGAAAGATGCATATTATCTTTTAGCAATTTTATTTTTCTATGAACTCTTTGAAATATCCTCATATGTGCTATGTCCAGACAATGACGAAGTTCATGCATAGTCAATATTTTATCTCATTGTCATCTGTCAACAAACAGTGATCTGTCTTAAAGCATGTAATTCCAAAAGAAGAATTTTTTAGAACATCTGCTTAATGGATTTTCCTAGTGTATATTGACTTCTATAAGCATACCTGTCTTTAAAATTTCTAAGAAGTGCTCAAAAATCAATAAAAAAGTAAGTGATTAGACATATCTTCTAATAAAGATATTACTAGCTTTTCATATATAGTAAGGAGTATTTATTCTCAAATATACACATTCAAACACATTAAAATCTTTTTTCCCCTTTAGAAATAGCTATATTTCTGGAATTATTCTATTTGAAATATTTTAGAAACTTAATTGATGGCACCAAGGGATAAAAATTATATTATTTAAAATGCACTTGTTCCTATATAGTACATTTTTATTCAAGGTTTTAAAGAACATATATACAGTAATAGATAAGAATCATTAAATCTATTTCTGCTTCATGAAATGAATGATTGTAATTTGTCATCTCAATTTTAATAAAAACTTATTTGAAACTCAGAATTAAAATTCAATAGGAGAATAAGTACAGTGGTTTTTAAGTTTGAAAAAAAATAAATTTCTAACTACAGTATATTAAAATAGGTAAACAATAAACAGTCCAAATGTTTCTTTGTTAATTATTTTCAAAATATGAGTTACTTTTGAATTATATACAAGATTTGTTTGTAAAACAAAAATTTCTCCCTATTTTATATGAAGATATTTCGAAGTGATTTGCCAAGATTATGTCCAGAAACATAGCCATGTAAGTACATGTCCCAAAAGAGAGTTTTGTAAAGTAAAAGTGCTAACACCTTTTTCATAAGGACAGTTGCATACACACAATGGGGTTTTATGTCTGGATAAATTTGTTTCTGTGGATGACCTCTCGAAAATATACTTTCAGAGTATTATCCTACGACTCAGTATTAGATATATTTGCATTCTATCACATACATTTAGAATATAAATTAAAAGATACATAAACATTTAAAAACCAGTCTAATGTTACTAATTATTTGGACCTTTCAAAAATTCAGTTTAGGGCCGGCCCATGGCTCACTTAGGAGAGTGAGGTGCTGATAACACCAAGGCCAAGGGTTCGGATCCCTATATAGGGATGGCCGGTTAGCTCACTTGGCAGAGCATGGTGCTGACAACACCAAGCCAAGAGTTAAGATCCCCTTACTGGTCATCTTTTAAAAAAAAGAAAAAGAAAAAAAATTCAGTTTATTTTTGAAAACAAGACAGAATATTATGGCATTGAGCTTCAATATCAATGAAAAGTTTCCAGACAGTGATCTTCAAATTTTGGGGTTTGTGGACATTTCAACCTGCCATCCACATACTAAAGATGTTTGAACATCTCTCAAAAGTAATCAAACATTGTCAGTAGAAGGACATTTAATGGGAATTATACAGCTGTTCTACTTATTGTCATTCTTAATAACATTAGACTAGTTTTTCTTGTGCTGTTTTAGCCTGTTAGATTTTAATTTTATATAGAATTATGGAAAATCTAAACACTTAAATATTTCACAACAAGCCAAAATTTGTTTTTGTGTATAAAAATTCTTTGTAGCATTTCTATTTTAAGTGGCATGGTTCAAGCACTGGCTGAAATTTTCTTTTCTTTGGAAATATTGTTTTTCTTCAGTTTCCAAATTAATCCTTTGCATGTTCTTCAAAACTGTGAGCATTTTTGTTTGCCAGCAACCGTCCTCTACCTAGCCTTTCTGTGTTTTTCCTTTATCCTCCCACTTGGAGGTGCATCAGTCCTAATTACACCAATCCTTAGAAGAGGAGAAAGTCTGTGCCCAAGCAACATTTACTTCACCTTAAACTCAGTGAGGGACCATTTCTAGAATTGAGTGGACTTAGTGATTTAAACAAAAAACAGTGATCCTAGTGAGGCCATGGCCTTGATAACATAGAAAGTGAAAAGTACTTTAATACATCTTTAGAAGGCTCCTAGTCCCTTTAATAATAGAAAAAGGGTAGACTGTAGATTATATGCTCTCTCTCTATCTCTCTCTCTCTCTCTCTCTCTCTCTCTCTCTCTCTCTCTCACACACACACACACACACACACACAAAGAATTAAGGCAAACATCCAGATACTTTTATTTTACAATAGTTTAAAATCTATAACTCACAACTAAAAACTGGAAAATTAAAGCAAATGCCGAGATGCTTTAATAATGATCTTCTAAAACCCACAAATACATTGTCTGGGTATTCTGGGAAAGATGATTTGGGGGAAGTGTAGGGCTGGATTATTTGACCTTCATATAGCCCAACAGCCTCTCTGAATCCTGGCAGTAGAGATGTCATCAGCAGAGAAATGCCTCCAGAGCACCTTTCCCTAGCAATTTGCTTCAGTTCTTCAGAGTCACCATAGGGTGGTTCCATTTTGAAATTAGCATATCTAGAACTCAGGAGAAACCCATTACCCACACTATTCTTCAGGCCTAGCTACCAAAAAGCCATCAGAGAATAACAGCTTTCAGTCACTTCTGTCCCCACATTTCAACTAGTAGGCAAATTGATTAGAATCGTAGAATACTCGAGCAGGATAGAGCTTCTTGGATTGTATAGTCCAATTTCTTCCTTATTGCTCTCCTTTCCCACCCCACTCAACTTTGGTCTCTCTCTTTCCACACACACAAACACACACACACAAACACACACACACACACACACACACACACACACACACGGCAGATGAAATAGGAAGGATGAGAGATTTGTCTGAGGACAAGCTTCAAGTTAGATCAGAGCTGGAATAGAACCCAAATCTCAGTAACTGGAGCCAGCCAACTGCTATTCTAGACTCAGAACAAATCTGCTTCAGTCTCATGAATTCTACATTAGGCATTCATATTTTATCTGATGTTGCCTGCTATTGACTCCTATAGAAACCCAAAGAAACCACCTTTCTTGTCCCTTAATCACTCTGCCAGTTCCACGCTGAAGACTCAAGGCAAGCTCCTTAGCCTCTCTGGGCTCTTTCCTGATCTAAAATAAGTGGGTTGAACTGGAGATCTATGAGGAACTTTCCAGTTATAAAAATTCTGCTTTTTATCTTCTGTTTTATATGCTTCATTCTTGATGTTTGCAATTTTCACTAGGTGGCAGGATTCCACCATCACTTTATGAAAGGATTTTCTGATAGATGCCTGGGAGCAGAAAATTTCAAAGAAACGCCTTTCTTCACATGGAACATTTTTTTAAAAGTAAAAGCCAAAGAGAAAGAATAACTACAAAGGCAGTGGCCTATATATTTCATAAAGATAGCTCCATTTTTAATATATGTATTAAATAGGAAATTAATCTCCAATGCTCTCATATGCTCTTTCATACAACACTACAATTTGGTACTAAAATCAGTAAAAGTTTTCCTAATTTCATGTATTTTAAAATTTACTTTAGGGCCGGCCCGGTGGCGCACTGGAGAGTGCGCCGCTTGGGAGCGCGGCGGCGCTCCCACCAAGGGTTCGGATCCCATGTGGAGACCGGTTCCTGCTCACTGGCTGAGTGCGGTGCGGGCGCAACACCAAGGGTTGCAATCCCGTTACCGGTCAGTAAAAAAGACAAAAAGGAAAAAATAAATAAAAATTAAAAAAATTTACTTTAGCTGAATGCCAACTGAACAGTAGCAAATTCCCCTTGAGCAAACTCAATTAAGCTTAGAAACAAACAAACCAATGGCAAGAAAAACATACGACATCCCTTAAATACGTGTTAGATGCATTACAAAATTACCTTTTAGGTACAATGTATTTCCAGGATCTTTGAATGTTATTTTGATTTCTTAACCAGTGAGCACACACGATAGAATACAGTACGTGGATTTTTGCATTTATCTGTCAAATCCTTAAAAGGGTATTCTTTTAAGTAGATTTTTATGACATTTCATCATACTTTAAAAAATTATTGCCCAAAATTAGCCTTTTCCTGAATGCTGCATACTAAATGTCAGTACCAACACTTTGTAAGAGTCCCCAAAATAGCCAAGCCAAATGATTACACTGAGCTGAGCATTTCTCCACTGCCAGAGCCCAGTAAAGTGACATGAAACGATAACTCAACTGAATATTCCAATACTGCCTAGAAGAAAACTTTCCCAGTGTCTTGCTGGTTGTCAGAACATGATTAACTAGTCCTTTTCCTCAGCTGATAAATATGGCTCTCTCCCCCCCACCCCGACCCCCCCATCAACTGCAAGTTAATTACATAATATATGGTATATATTACTGTCCAAAGTTTCTTTAAAAGAAAAAAAAAAAGCCAACTCACATCCTATTTAAATGTAACGTCAGCACCCAAATCAAACTAATATATAGACTTCTGCATGAGAACTTTAAAACCCCATCAACAGGTTGCTTTCATTCTCTCCTTCCCTTCCCGGCACAGAGCAGCGGTAACACCTTTCAGGTTCCTACCTTTGCAACTTGTAAGGGCTGCTTCTGCTCCTTGCCACCTTGCAGCCTGAACCCCCAGGGCGCCCCTCCAGTCATGGAAATGCAGATAAAATCCCCCGTGCCCATGTTTTTCCTTTCAGTTGGGCAGCATGAAGAGTTTGAAAAGACAGAGGAAGGTTGGGGACAGTGGAGGATGCGCACTCAGCTTCGGGAGCTTGCAAAGGACGCAGAGCCTTCGCCGCTGCCGCCGCCGCCGCGAACTGCGCCGCTACTGGGATCATTGACGAGGAGGCAGAGGCGCTCGCCCGCACCCGAGGACACAGCCCACTCCTGCGTCACGCGCCTTCGCTCGGCCCACCCTCAGGGAAGGGAAGCGGCCTCACGCGCGGGAGAATGTCCCCATTCGGGGCGAGATGGGGCTGGGGGGAGGGCCGCGGAGAGGGAGAGCAAAAGTTCTCTTGCACTAACGGATTACATCCCACCGTTTAAAAGAAAGTCTGAGTGGAAAGCTTACGGTTCATAATTCTATAAATAGTGGAGGACACAGGGAAGTTTTAATCTCCATGCCACGAGTGACATCCTAAAGTACGAGCTCTCAACTAATAGAGGATTAGGATCTCTCAAAAAAATAGTTTGAGAATTACCTCATTGATGAATGAAATAGACAAAAGGGAGTTAAAGTGAATTAAACTATTATTTTTCTGTCTGCAGCCTGAAGAAGTAATCCCATAAGAAGAGAAAATAAAAGAAAGCATAAACAGTAATTTTTTTAAAAACCTCTTACTCTGAAAAGTACTTTCCTGAACTATGATTTATATTTAGAAGAGGGGGAAAAGGAGGAGGGAGTCGGGGACGGAGGGAGGGAAAGGGGGAGGGAGGGGGGAAAATGAATTTTAACCTGGAAACAACATTTTTATAACTACATCTATTGCATGGTTTGGGGTATTTTAATTTTAAATAAGTGTTTTATTTTCTTCCTTCTTGCTGATCTTCTTATACCAGAATCCAATAGTCAGTCAATTGCATACAATGCCACCTGTAAGTTTCTCATTTTTAGTCTCTTATCACATGTTTTGAATTTGGGTGGTCCAATATAAAAGTAGACTTTATATGTGGTCCAGAATATTTTAATGTTTTAAACCTAAGTGCAATCTACCAAAAATGTACAAATGGGACGTTTTTATTTTCCCCTAACATATTTCTCTTAACATTCATTGACATAAAAACACTAAATAAGGAAGGGCCTGGGAAAGTTAGTCTGTGTTCTGCGTGGTACCAGACAAAAGTGACTTCCAGACGTTCTGCCTGTTTCAGTGCTAGGAAGAACTACACAATGAACGTTTACACAGCTCCTGCTCCCCAGCGTCCACATGTATCAAGTGATTTTACTTGTGCCTCATCACTGGAATAAAGAGGACAATGAGATCAGAGACTGTTGACACTGGAAGAGACCCTTTGAAAGTCATGAGGGCCATATACTCATCCCAAGTTTGATTCTCTTCTGACATGTGAATTGACTTTTCCAAAATTTTTCTTAAAAAAAAAAAATGCTAGAAGTGACATCCTAAAATATGAGCTTTGAGAAAAAAGAAAAAAAGAACTTCTCGCATTTGTTCTTTCCACTGTCTCATGTTTCTCCTGTTCCTCAATCCACTCCAGTTTAGCTTCCGTCTCCATAACAGGAAATGCTCTGGGCAAGGTCACTTACAACCTCCTTGTTTTTGTGTAGTACTTCATATTAATGACCATGTCCTCCTTAAATTGTTTTTCCTTTAGGCTTCTAGGACCCAGAAAGCTCTTGACTTTCCTATGCCTCCCTAGCCACTCATCTTTCTCTTCTTTGGCAAGTTCTCTGTCTCTACTTGTCCATTAAATGTTGGTGTTCATTAGGGCTATGGTCTGGTCCTATTTTTTTCTCACTTCCTACCCTTTCTGTGAGTTCTCTCATTTGCCATGCAGAATTCAACCATCTCCCTCAACCTCAGATATCTTTCCATAGCTGCAGGCCAATATAACCAACTGCCTGTTAAATCTATTTCTATGTGTGAATTTATTACAGAAAACTAAAACTCAGTATATTCAAAACCAAGTTAATTATCGGCCCCAAATTCTGTTTCTCCTCCTATGTTCCCCATCTCAAGATAATTGACTAACCTATTAGCTTTCTGTTATGTCTGGTTCTCTTCATCTCTGACTTAAATGTAAATGTGATACCGCAGGCTGGAACTGGGACAGCCATATTGTGATCATGAGGCAAAGTCTAATAAAACTTCAGAGACTCCAGTCCTGAATGAATCCATGCCAACAGCTGTCTACCTCCAGTGCTCTTATTGTGTGAGAAAAATAACCCATATTTGTTTAAATTGCTATAGGTCAAGTTCATTGTTACTTGCATCCAGCACATACCTAACTGCTACACTCAGTGAATAACTTCTCCCATTCAACCAGGTCCTCTAGACAGAACCAGGGAATTAAAATTTCTATAATTTATTGAAGATTTACTCGGTGCCAGGAACTTGACAGATAGATAGTATTTTACTTATCTTCAAAACAACCATACTGGGTAGTTATTATCTCTCTCTTTTACAGGTAACCGACTAAGCCTTAGATCCTAAGTGGTAGAGGCACTATTTGAACTTTTGTATGCCTGAATTTAAAATATCTGTTCTTAATCATTGCTCTCCTGCCTCTAGGCCTTAGGTACCTCTTTATGCTCATCTCATGCATCCAATTATCTGTTAAGACCTGTGGGTCCAACTTCTAAATAGGTTGCAAATGTGCTCTTTCACTCCACTCTCACTTCTATCTCTGGCCTGGACTTTGGCAATCTCATAACTGATTTCTCTGTTCCAGGCTTGTTTCCACCTCTGATTCATTTTTCATTCTACAGCCAGTATGAAATTTCTGAAATACAATATCTATCTTGTTTTTCCTCTGTTTAAAATCTTCAAGGGCTCCCAGAATAAAGCCAAAATTTCTTTACAAAGATAACAGTTTCTTCCTCCCACTCCCCACTTCTTCTCCACCTCATTGCTCACTGTTCCGCACCTTGAATTCATCTGCTTAGGCATTCCTCCAAGCTAGCTAGTCCTCGCCCACACATATGTCACCTGATGATTCCTAGTCATTTTTCTGGCCTCAGATTAGAGGCCCCGTTCTCCAGGAAGCCTCTCCTGACCCCCCAGCGTTCAGGCTGGGTGCTCCTTCCAATGCTATCACCACTCTGTACTTTCCTTCTCATTCTAAAGGTCTCTTAGATGATCTCAATCCTACACTAGATTACTAACCCTGGAGATTAGGAGTCATTTCTGTCTTATTCAGAATTTTATCCTCAAATCTAATATGGTTTCTGACAAGTAATTGGTGCTCAATTAGTATGAGTAGAAAGAGTAGATAAGATTTCCCAGAATGAAGGTATAGGTATAAAAAAGAGAGCCAAAGAGTTCTAACTTATTTTTTCTTCACTTTATTTGATTTGGAAAAATCTGAAATAGACCCAGATGCCTAAATTATATCATGTAGAGACCATATGGAGTAGGTAATGGCTCCCTCCAGAGCATTCTCCCATCCCCTATTGCTTAGTAGTTGTTGGCTTAGGTAAAACTGATCCTCCCAGCCCAGGATTATGTAGGGGTTGATCGTCCTAAGGCAATCAGTGTAATCCTTCCTCCTTAACAGAGATTTGTCAGGAATAGGTACGAAACCTAGGTCTAAATCAGGGAGATTCCCTTGGCCCCAGTGATTAACTCACGTATGGTCCAATCACAAGGAAGCTTAGGACTTTTCTGGATAGTTGTCAGGGCAAGGTCTTCTTCCCATGGATGTTGATAGAGGCAATGGGGGAAGCTAGTGTCAGGATGAAACCACCACAAAGTAAGTTGAGAGAGACAGTTTTTCATGTGTCTCTAGTGCTCTTGTATGTCTTTCTGGGTATGCCAGAATGCAAGGTCCTGATGTCTCTTTTCTCCAGCCATTTCTCAGTGTTATGTTTGCAGCAAGCAACCTTGACAGGTGAGGTAATATCTCCATCTGGGAAAAAGAGCAGTTTTTCTAACTGATTATTGTCAAAGCAATGGATTCTCTATGTGTAGAGTTCCTTAGCTGGGATGCAAACCCACTGTGTGTGTGGCATCCATCTGGGTCATATCGTGTCACCTCTATGGGGCTTGGGGCAAGATGAACTGACACAAACATGCTGATGTTGATGCTGCTTGTGATGCCCTGAGTAATAAAGTTCTTTATGTCTGACCCAGAAGTGCATGTCTTCTTTCAGTATATATGAAACAGTAACAGGCTACCTTAGCATGTCGCAAGGACAGTAAAATCAAATCTCAGACCCAAAGGGTGAAACTGAGACATGAGTAGAGAAATGGAACCAAAGCCCTGGTCAAATGGCCTGCCCTTTATTTTATTTGGGTTTTAAGAATAAAGAAAGGCAGGAGCAAAAAAAAAAAAAATCAGTTTTCTAAAGAAATAAATGACTAGTTTTGACAATGATCTGCTAGGACTACCTCTACTTCTTATGCCATTTAAACAGTTTAACAGTGTATCAGATGCTCCATTTGATATCACTGATTATTCATTCATTCAAGCACTGTTCATCTATTCATTCAGTGGATAATACCTATTGTATATTTCCCCATTTCAACAGCACCGTAAGATTTCTGGGCCTCACATAATCTGTAATGGCACATCATGAAGCAAAAATATTCCAGTAAGAATGATTTATTCTACAGTAATTTCACATTGGCTACCTATGCCTGGCTCATGCTTCTTTTATTTTTCTAATTCAATTTCTCACTCAAAAAATATCATTATTTCCTTCTTATTTCTACTATTTCTTTCTACTTATTGTAAGACCTAGAATAATTAGATATTTTCTTCATTATGAGTGAAATAGTAATATATTTATGGGGGGAGGAAGGGGAAATAAAGCATCACAGTAAAAAAAGTAAACATTATTGTAAAATTTAGAATGGCCAAACCTGGTATGATGCACCACGATTTCAATATCTAAACCAAACCTAGGTCTTCATTTCCTTTGGGCCATCAGAAAATCTTCCTGCTTATTAAAAGCCCTTAAAAAAAAAACCAACAAAAACTAGTAGGCATCTTTTCAACATTAGCTAATGTATTCACGTGAGTTCAGTTTGAATGAATCACCAAATGAAAAACAGACGGATTAAAGTCCTCTTAGGATGCACATATGAGTATATTAAAAGTTTCATTTTCAAAAATGTGGTGTGTGT